CGTACGTAACGTAACGTAACGTAACGTAACGTAACGTAACGTAACGTAAGTACGTAACGTACGTACGTAGTACGTACGTAGTACGAGTACGAGTAGAGAGAGAGAGAGAGAGAGAGAGAGAGAGAGAGAGGCCAATAGCATTGTGACTGCAAAGAGTATGGCATAGCCCAGCACTTTTAGTTTCAGAGAAATCACCAAAAGTGACAGTGCAAGGAAATTTTATTTTTAGCATTAACAAAATAAAGGACCACAGAGAGAGCGAAAGAGAGATACCTTTACCCTCTTGTTGATAATGCCACCCAATGGCATGTAAGTGAAAGAACCCAAACAGAGGGAAAACAAGGTTGAGGACACTAGAGCTTCATTAGTGCCTGAGGACTGAGATTTGAGTCTCACATTGGATTTTTAGTTTCACTTCTTATATATGAAACACACTCCAAGGATAATAAAAAGTCAAAAGTGTATTTTAAAGACATGATTATTGTATTTAATATACTTTGGTTTTTTAATTCAGGCAAAATTAAATATACTGCGTTCATGAACTAAAGTACGCTAGCTAAGAGATCTTTGGGAGCCTCGATTCAAAGCGACGGACAGCGATCTCATATACTGTATTATTCAATCCTGGAAAAATTTAAATCGCACTACCTTCATATTGGAAACTAGATCATCTTGATCCCTCATGCAAAAAACTTCAAGCATCGCTAGATCGGGTCCTACTTCTAATCAGTGACCTGCCCGCGCTCCTGATCCCAGAAACTATGCATCAGATTACCAAATTCATTACCTTGACAACAGCAAAGTTCATGCTATTATATAATAACCCTAGCAAAGCTTAGTTTTCACTTTAATGTCAAGGTACACAAAAATCTACGGAAAGAATTCAACAACAAAGAAGCAGCAATAGGAAAAATATTCATAAGAACAGCTGCACAGTATAGCCATGTGGATAATCCAAAAGAAAAAGAGGCCAAACTTAATCCCAAAATTCTTTATTGCGTGCCTTCTTCCGATTCCACCACCATATGGTAGAAGTAGGATATAGACATAGCAAGTCAATTAGTTAATATATCCAATAGCAGTCATACTTTGCCGTGACTTCCAAAACGCACTATGATAATTAAAATCCCCATACTAATGGTAATAAAATAACATTAAATTAGCAGATATAAGAAGAGTACTCTTCAGCACAAGCTTTTTAGTCAAAGAACAATGGATTTCAATCAATACAAACAGTGACATTAGGAAAAACTACATCAATTTCATCAATTAGAGTCTATTTTCAGAGATGACAGAAAACCTAAATTACCAAAGTCAACTAAGAAACAAATTAACAAACTAAATCTCTTCACATGCTCTGCAGTCCATAGCTTTGGGTTCTCCAGCTTTCCAACGAGCTTATATCCATGAAATCCAATATTCTTGTTGGATGGACATAATTCCAGACAGGCTACTTCAGAAGCCTGTAGGTCCACATTTTCATCAGATTCATACCACTTCCCTGTTTCATACGGGATGGCTTCCATGGTGATATCAGCATGCCTGTTGATCTCATTGCTTCCTTCCAGGCCATTGATTTTCACTGCAACCTGCAAGTTGAAGAGCAACTAAGACTCAACTAGCTAACAAAGAAATTTGTAGCTGCAACTGCTACCAACAAACACCATGCAGCAGTCCCATTAGCCAGTGATTTATATTGAATATAGATGAAGCAGATTCAGCCAAAGCAAAATGTAGGGCAAAAAAACGATAGTCCATGAAAAAGTGGTGGGGTCTACAGAGAGTAACATTAACAAAATAATTTGAATAGAACACAACAATAAGTGAGGGAAGAATATAAGAAGAAATTTCAAATGTTCTTCCCAAAGAACCAAAACCTTATCAACACACAAGAAAAGTGATACATCATCACGCTGGACACAGATTCATGTAAGGTGAGAATGATCTACAATGGCATTCAACATATTTTAAAAGAGAGCCATCAAGATGTCAACCAAACTAGGGGAGGACCAAGAAGGTATAGAGCAGAAAAATAATTTGTAATACCAATAAGCCCCGTGATCCCAAGAGAAGGATTCAGAGGCGTGAAATGCCCAAGAATCTTCAGGACAGAAAAAGTAGTCCCTTGAAAAAAGAAGAGACAATGATGATGAAGGCGAAGGAAGATAGCTTCTTCTTCTACTTCTCATATAAATGTGTGTGTGCGTGTGCACCTGTAGGAGAATAAATACTGACTTTCAAACTACAAGTAACATCTCCTTTCCCTCCAATGTTCCTAAGTTGTCTTGCTATGTGAACTATTTACTAGCTGGATAGTGTCTTTGAATAAGCATCTATCCTTAGGGACCTCCCATTCACTATCTAAATACGTAAGTTAGACAACCCCTTTGAAAATTGGTATATTTTAATTTATTATCCATATCAAGTATTTACAAAAATAAACTAGAGTGAAGAAATAAGAGACAGATACATAAAAACAAAACTCAAGATAGAGATATATGGGAAGTGATTTCAGGCAACGGTTGTATAGTAATATAATGAAACAATCTTCAAAAATTATGTTCGGCCCATTTGTTTGACCCAAATTTTTAAAGAGGATATTATACAAAATGGGAACTATCACATACATTTTTCACAACCACACAAGTAACTATGTTATAAAGAAGTTAGAAAATGATTGAAACATAATAAATAAATAATGCCTGAAAATAAAATATTAAATACAAACATACACACACATGCAATTTTATTTGTTTTTGTTTTTTAGGAGAGAGAGAGAGAGAGAGAGAGAGAGAGTAGTTACTTTT